ACAAAAAACTGCCACATTCCAATTCTTTTTGACAGACCGAAGGCTGTCGGGTCCGCTAGTAATTGATAAAAACACAAGAGTGACGGAGTAATTAATTATATTAAAGGGACGCGGATGGTCACATAAAATCCATCTTTTTTGTGTTAGGTAAAATGTTTGGTTAATTTCTATATGAAAAGGTGTACCATTTCCAAGAAATATAAGAAAGGTTAAAAAAAATGAATGACAGGTTAAAGATGATTTTTCGCGTTAAATTTGAAAAACAATAAAATTATTTACAATGTGATACATGAAATATATTATTAATGCATTTTTTACAAAAATTATCCGCTGAAGAGTTTTTTAAAACCTATACAAATATATACACAAGATCGTTTTTATGTTGTTTTTTATATTCCATTTTTATTAAAACAAATCACCCATCTGTAATAAACTATTATATTTTTGTAGCACATCACCAAATATTAGGTGAAGTAAATAGTAATCCATTATTTTCCCAATAGATGACTTTAGTCATCTATATCCCGCGTTGTATAAGTCCAATCAAGTTACGCAATATAGCGTTAGAAAGATGAGATTTTGTAATAAAAAAACTTTCGACAGTTTGGTAATTGGTTGAATCAGTTTTTTATGACCGTGAACTAAAGATGGACACCAGCAAAGAGAAAAATCACCATATTTTACAGTTTTTTTTGATAAAAACAAAAACGCAATCTAGATGGCTGAAAATGCATATAATGTCTATGGTTCGGATATTGTAGCAATCAATCCTGCGCAATTTAGGTTTCGTAGATTTCGTTTTAGTAATATCGATGTCAAAGATGCACCACTCACTGGAAGACCAATTGCCGAAAATGTTCATAAAATCATGGAAATTATCAAGTCCCATCGTCATATTAGCATTGTTTTGATTGCACAAGAGCTCAAGATTGCACAAAAAATCTTTTGGACCCATTTTAATTAATGGTAATCAAACGTTACTCGGTAATCAGATATTCGGTAAAGTGATAAAATCGTAAATGCCTAAGAACCACCTTTAAAATCACTTTCGTAAAATGTTTAAAATTGTTGTTAATGCGACTGATTTCAATTTTGTTGTACATAAATGCAAGGAAATAGCAAGAAAACGTGGATAATCAAATTTCAAATTAATATATGATTTTTATTATTTTTTCAAACACTTTAAATTTTAAAATTAAATTTAATTGTATCATTTCACAATAATAATATAATAATATGCGAAAATTGACAGGCTATCCTACTTACCACTATCTAATCTTAGAGTAATCACTCTCCGCACGGGGAGGTACGCAGATCTTAGATAAATCACTGAATAATCATGAAGCTTATAGGCAATACATAAATTATTCAATGAGATGGGTGGGACCCTGTAGTACCCCCAGCTATCAAAGAGTAAAAGTGCCCAGTTGCGCTGACTCGAAAAAAGGATCAACATACAATAATAAAAATCAGTTGAATCTGGTGTAACAGTAAAGCAACAAGACCTGATGACTCTGTAACGTTCTAAATTTACAAAAACAAACACACCAAATTTTATTACTTAATTTTAGCATAAACATTATATATGGTTACTGCACACATAAACAAATTCTTATCTAAAATGTAAACAAAATAAATATAAATCTTACTGAGGTGTTGTAAGCACAATTTATTGTAGTTAGAGAATTTAATATTTTCACAATTAGTTAAGAGTTAAGTTCAACTGATGTCATTCTTTATTGTGTATCACAATATATATTAAAATTTAAATTAAATAAATTTTATACAAATTGTATTTTAGGATAACCATGATGTATACCGAATCCATTTATTTCATACTTAAATAAACTCCCTTCACTGACTTTGGAAACCAGATCCCGTAGACTAGAAAGCTGAAGCAAAAAAGTTTTCTTTTATCTATCTTTTTCAATTTATGTATATTAACACAAATTTTATAAACATACAAAAAAAAATAAAAACATTTATATATAGTCAAAATAACGTATCGAAAAGTAGTTTTATTGAATATGATTGTACATACTAATTGTATTCTTAAATTTTGTTTTTTGAAGATAAATTTACAGGATTAATTCTTTGGAACAATCTCCGCTAAAACCTCTAATTTTGTATTAGCGTCTAGTAGATCAGAGTTAATAGGTCCATTGAGAAATTCAACCAAAGACATACTTTTGAAATCAATCAAATTTAACAACATATTTATAATTAATTTATTTTTTTTATAAGTTTTAGATTCCTTGGAACTATTTTCGTCTTCTTGTAGTTTTCCGCAACCGCCTTTCTGATTCTTAGAAATTTCTGATTGTTTAGATGCTTCAGAAATAGTTCCTTTGTCCTTAAAGTCATCTTGAGATGCATCAGAATTATCTCCTTCGTTGATATTAGGTTGACGTTTATTCGAAGTATCTGCTAAGATTTTAGAATTATTTTCTGGACTTTTTAAATCAATCTTCGAAACGTCAGAAATATCTTCGCGATTTATAATTTCACCATTTGGTTTTTTAAGATGATCATCATCTTCGAATTTATTTAAATTCTCTTCTCCATTTCCACCTTCAACTGCTTTATCGCTTAAATTCCTTTTTATGTAATATTGTACCATTTCGAAACAATGTTTCACATTTTCTTTTGCAAATATTTTTATAAAATCCATGAAACAAGCTGAACTCATGTCGTATATGGACGAGCAATAAATATCATTTTGATCTCTTTGTACATTCTTACACCATTCCTGCAAATTTAAAATAAATACATATATATTTAATAGAATATTGTATTCAACAGCGCACTTACAGTTTTTTTAAGATTGAATAATTCAATCAGCTTTTTATTATCTACTCTGTGAGCGTATTCATAAAAATTAGCTATATCTCTTAAAGATATGTTGGTTTTGATATTATCAATTGCAGTCAAGCAAGAGTCAGATAGATCGCTGATCTTATAATTTTCTCCAAGATAAACCAATTCCTTAAGAATTTGAAGAGAGAGCTTACTTATTTGTTGTTTGTTTCCAAAATAAACGAAATCAATAAATTGATGGACAGTATTTGCTTCGACATTGTCCAAACGAATTTCATTATTGGTCAAGTCTTCACCAGCGTTTTTAGCAAACATATCATAAAAGACTTCAGAGGTCTGTGACAATATGATTTGATGGCAATGTACAGCTTCAGAATTTGGACTACCGGAAGCAATAAAGCTACAGTCCGTATCAAGGCCATCACATAAAATATCAACTTTTTCCTTTTCGCTGAAATTAAAAATTGTTTATCAAAATAAATTTATTTATAACATGTATTTGTGTAAATATATACTTACGTTAAAGTGGACCACTTAGATAATTTTTTCTCCATTTTCCCGAGCTAGAAATGCACGTATTCTTTAATATTCCTTTAAAAGAATAAAAGCGTAATAGATAGAGACGCGTTATTGAAGTTTGAATGGGAATTCCTAAATTTACAAATACAAAATGAGAGCACTAAAGAATATTTGGCCGAGTATTGCTTGGTGTTGCCAATTACTGCAATAAAAATAGTAATGTAATATATGTATGGTGCCCTAACAGAGTAAAACCGAAGATTATTCAAAACGCCAATAAAACAAAATAAATTAAAACATAATAAAATTCTAATATATTGAATATTACTATGATTTATATTATATTATGAATTATTGAAACTAAGATAGGAATACCTAATGTCTCTTTGCAAACTTTAAAAGTTAAATACATTATTATAAAATAATGTTTATAATATAATCCATTTATAAAACAATGCATAAAAAAATAAATGTTTTAAACAATAACTTCTACACTTAATGATATATGTAGATAATAAATTAATAAATAAAAAATTAATTAATTATCATTATTTGAGTTTTAATAGTTTAACAAAAACATTCCCAGATGTACAAAAACAAAAAGTTTTTGTCTATTTCCAGCAATACCCACTTATAATCAAAATCAATACCGCATTTGAAATGTATTACAATACAAAAGATATTTGAATACATCCACATTTTATTGAAATTTCATATGTTTATACCAATTTTTGTTTGTTTACCATAGAGCCATTGTGAGTTGTTGTCTATCGGTAATAGACAGTAGAAAAGTTTATATTGTTGATAGGCAAAAATTAGCTATAAAATGATAAACATGTAAACAATGATAAAATGATAAACATAAACATATAATTATTTTATATCTATATCTATTTTATATTTATAATCACGCAAATGTTCTTTTTGAGTACTGGTAAAACTACATTATTTTATTTTTATGGTATAACAAATAAATGAATTTATATTAATAAATTAAGAAATTTAATATTATAACCGCTTTTTCATTTTTGTCGAAAACAACTATGAAAGTACATGTTTGTTTCTGCGGCCCTCCAATCTGTACAGTGATTTGTATTGGCCCGCGATCGCATCTAGTCTGGACAGCCCTGGTCTATATCATGCTTAACATAATTTCTATAGATTAAGTCTGTTTCACGAGCTACTCGTAGTAAAACTAAAGTAAAACACAAGTAAACTACAAACTGAGAGCGTAACACAAATAAAGTGCCAAATTTCGCTCTTTACATAAATTTTCATGGAACAGCTTTGTGTAAAGTCTGGTCTGGTGAGAACATCAGTGCCGCGGAGATAAGCAATACAAAAATTTAAATTCGAACCAAAACAGCTGAGTCACTCATGAACACAATTTAACTTGATATAAAATGTACGAGTAAAGTCTGTATAGCAATTTCAAATTTGGATAGGGATGTTACGCTCTCCCAGATGCTCTCATGTACTCGAAAATTTGCTGGTGGAACGCGCTTGTGTAGTGTTACGGTTAGGTTAGTACGAGTAGCTTATGGAACAGACCTAATATGTTTTTGAAAAATTGAATTTTTACTGGGATTACACTGAACATATACAAATATGTGTAAAACTATTATTTGAATATGGCAGTTCTACAAAAGTCAGATTTGTTTGACACATTATTTTTTTAAAATAAAGTGTGTGGTTATTATTATTTTGGTCATACAATAACAAATAATAAATTTGTAATTTTTGTGTTGATTATAAAAGACTTTTTCAGGTGCCTTTATATAATGAATAACAACGATCGAAAGAAACCTTTAAAAGAAAATAGAAATAAAAATTCACAAAATTCATCCCAAGAATCAAAATCTATCGAGAAGCAACACATGCTAACAAATATAAAAAGATATAATTCTGGTTCAAATTGGAACAAGCATATTTCTGAAAATCATAGTAATAATCCTAAAGAAACTGAATCAAATAAACAGACTTCTGACAGTTCAACTTCTCAACTGAGTAAGTCGGCGCGTCGTCGTCAACGACGTCAGCAAGAAATACAACTCACTATTAATCAAGCAAACAATGCGGAAAGCTCAGCACATGCTCCTGTTGTAAATAAAGCGGATCAGAATGTTTGTATTAAAGCAAACAATGTAACTAGAGGTATATATTTAATTGTTGATTATTGAATATATTATATTATTAAAATGAATGTAAGTAATATGAATACCAAACAGTCATGTCGCTAGCGTATATATTGTTTTAATAATCTATGAAATTAATAAACCCAATAAGAAATTCGTTCTTTCTATATATAGATTTAGAGATAATGCTTATTACATTCCACGATAATATAATATATAGTTTAATAAAATATGACTGTTTTAATTTGGTAATTGAATTTAAAATAGTCTGTTAATAATCTTACTATAGTTGGTTACACTGATTCTAAAAGCATCTTAATATATTATTTGGGTTAGAAACTATTGATGAGAAGTTACTTGTACCAACAAATATAAGCAGAAATGCTGCTGGTTCAAATTGGGTTAAGCATTCATCGGATAAAGATGACGATGTTAAGGAAGTTGTATTAAATAAACAAAATTCGGAGAGTTTGAATTCACAGCTCAGTAAATCGGCACGCCAACGTCGGAAACGTCAAGCACAACGTGAACTCTATGTAGCAATGGACTGTGAAATGGTTGGTATTGGGCCCCATGGCAATGATGATATGTTAGCCCGTGTTTCAATTGTAAATAAATCAGGCGAAGTGTTATTGGATAAATATGTAAAACCACGAGAGAAGGTGGTGGACTATCGTACTGAAATAAGTGGAATAAGACCAACCGATATTGAAAATGGAGAAGATATTACTGTTGTACAGGATGAAGTTATTGAAATTTTGCAAGGTAATGAATTAATTTCTTAAATATAACGGTGAGACTAATTTTTTACATATACATTTTTTTGAACAGGCAAAATATTAGTTGGTCATGGCATACGTAAAGATTTGTCAGTCCTCTACATAAAACATCCATATAAAAATATACGTGACACTTCTCGTTACAGGCCATTGTCTCGATTAATATCGAATGGCCGAACACCATCATTAAAACGTTTAAGCGAAGAAATACTTGGTTTAAAAATTCAAACAGGAGAACACAACTCTATTGAGGACGCAAGAGCAGCAATGAACATATACAATCGTTTAAGTCAAGATTGGGAAAAATATATACAAAAAAGGAAGTACAAAACCAATTCATCCCATTTTTATTGAAGACTTTGATACAATTTTCTATACTTGCACATCTTTGTACATTATTTATATCAATTCAATAAAAAAAGTAAGTTAATAATATTAATATCAAAGACATCAGCTGTGGTTTACAGAATTAGGTTATATTTTTCCTTAATATAAGAAAAAGTTTATTAATTACATAAAACATTGTTTACAATGTTTATATTTATCCATCATTCTTGTCATCTATATTATTATACAGTTTTGCCGATTTCTTTAGCGCTGTGTGTCTTTCCATGAGCTCAACCCATGGATCTTCCACCATGGTTGGATGGTAATACGATACATCTATTCGATTGTTTATTTGTTCCTATTTAAAAAAAAAATAAGTATATTGAGATAATTATATTAATGTTTACTTACAAATTTCTGATATCCTTCGCTGTTGCGGTTATTCTTACGGAAATTATTGAATTTATTCCTATGCGGTCTATTTTGATTGTTTCGATAGAATGGTATATTTTTTTCCGCTTCGAAATTCCGGTTCATAGATTTTGCTGGCGTTGAAAAGAAACGTCCTGGTCGACGATATGGATGTTGTTGCATATTACTAGACGATGGCGTCTGACCAGGTCCACCCATTTCCAGAGAAATATAGTCTTCGGATTGAGAAGCATATTTTGGTTCAGATTTTCCATATGGTGCTGTATAATCTTTCGGAGACGACATATTCAACAATTCACTTAGATTTTAAAGTATTTAAAAAATAACTTTATTACTCGATGTTACTCCTTTGTATTACTGCAACAAACTAAACAGAAAAACTAAGTGTGTGACATTTATTAACAATTTCCAAAGTGAAAGCAGCAGGGTTGATTTTTTAACAAAACAATGTTGCCACACTTTGCAATTGTACATTAATTATGTTAACCTATATTATGTCGTTCAATAAAAATTACATTTGATATATTTATTAGATCTTTTTTTATTAAATTAGATTAATTGAATTTATTATGGACAAAGTAACATTCTATTCATATAGCATAAGTAATTTTAGTATTACTTGTTAAACTTACTGTGCAGTTAATGCTAAACATATTAATACTAAACATATTGTGTTAAACAAACCTCAATAAAATTTGCTACATTTACGTTTTGCACATTCCTACATGTATTTATAGAATCGATGAGTTGTTCCATAAAATGGATATAATCCATAAGCATATTTAAGTAGTTTATGACAATTCTTTGTTACACATTTTTCACTTTCTCAACTATATATTATATTTCCAAAACAATTTGTGTTGAATTTACAGAATGTAAAAAAAAACAAGATTAGACGTTCCGTTAATAATAATTAATAAAAATTGTTACTTTGAACATCTGTTTTGGTTAATAGTAATACTTTTATGTATTGCAATAAATCAATACCAGCTTGAAGGTGCTATAAAAATATGTTTATACAGTAAAACACAGTTTTGATTCATTTCGTTTATTTTTTTTTTTTAATTGAAACCGTAAATGAAAATGTATTATTCAACATTCGTTCACGAATTCCAGCAATATGTTTTAATGAAGTCATATATAATTAATATTAATAGAATTACAAAAATTTAACATGTAGGTTAATATAATAGAATTAAAATTTAGCAAATGTTTAAGATTGTATACTAATTTAGAGATAAATCGATTTAGTAATATTTATTAATCTGTTTGACTTGTTAACTGAATAAGACGATCAAATCAAATTAAACACACAGTGTTTGTGAATAAATAATGTAGATTACATTTAGGGTGTTCACGGGGCACCGGTTATCGGGTTATGTGTGTATGTGCTTATATGAGCAACAACAAAATGCACTGAATAAAAATAACCAACTTTGCACAACCCCTGCCTATGTATACAAATTATGTGGTTATGTGATTATTTGCAGTGTTGAAAAATAATATAAAATTTAAGCAAATGGCATTACAAAAAAGATTAATTTCACCAAATGGCACCACGAATTTTGAATTTCAAATTGGCATCACTAACATTTGAAGCTAGTTTCGTTTGTAAACAAACATTTAAAACGTAAACAAACATTTTGCAAAAGTAAGTTGAAATGATCTATACTAAATAAAAATATACAAATGTCTTATTTATTTCCCATTTTCAGTGTCTAACGAAATGCGGAAACGTAAACGTGAAAATGAAGTAAAGAAATGGACGGAGCAAGAAATAAAAACAGTACTAAGCTATATGCAAGAGCACAGGAACATAGAGGTAATTTGTATTTTGATTTGTATTTTTGTTACTTTGGGTTATAACTTTTGTTTTTATAAATATATTTAATGATAGAAACCAACAGCCCAGCTATATTATAAAAAATTGTTGGCAGAAACAAACATCAATGCAAATTGGAACATATTAAAATGTAAAATTCGCCATCTGAAGAGTACTTTGCAAAAAGCAGACGCATGGATTAATTCAACAGGCGCTGGAGTTGAAGATGATGACAATACAATTACTGTAAAAGGTAAACTTTATAATCATTTTAGTGCAGACTTTTTACTACAATAGTTTTAAATTTTTTGTTTATGTGCAGACAAGGTGGTTAAAATATGTCCACATTACGAACAGCTTGTCGACATTTTTTCACCTTCAAAGGAAATTGAATTTGTTGTAATGGACACATCGAACGCATTGGACTGTACTCTTGATGCAATTGATTTGGAAGAAGATAGTGTTATATTGGATGGTGAACTATCAGCATCATCAGAAACTATCTCCTTTGAAAACAAGGTTAAGCGTACAGCACGTCCTACTTGCATTGATAAGCTTAAAGATATGGAGAGTGACCGGGTCAAATTTCGGAAAGAGCAATTAAGCTTAGAAATTGAAAAATTCGAGTGGACAAAAGAAATGGAAAAACAAAAATTAGAATTGGAAAGGCAGAAAGTTGAGAATGAGTTCAAACTCAAGAAATTAGAGTTAGAACAAAAAGAAAGAATTAAAAAATATAAAGTTGATGTGAAATATAAAAATAAATAATAAAACAGACTTATTAAAAAAATTTAAAAATGTGTACTTTTATTCAAACATCATATTATACAGTGTTTGTCTTTTTAGCTCAGGTGTAGGTGCAGCAATAGTATTGCTATCATACTGCGCTTCACACCATTCGCTATTCTCACTTTCAAATTGTGAAAAATTGCGGTCTTCCAACAAAATATTATGCAACACACAACAAACGAGAATCCAAGAATTGAAAAATTTTTGGCTTTTTTTGTCTTTTATTTTAATTCTCATTTGTTTTAAACTGCAAAACTTTTCTTTAAGGATTCCGAAACAATTTTCAACTCTAACGCGGTATTGGCTGTGTCTTTTATTGAATTTGTTTTGTTGTTCAATATTCATTAAAGAAGAATTGGTGCGATATGGCGTTATCAAATGTTTAGTCAACTGGTACGCAGAGTCGCCTGCAATCCATTCTTCTCCAGTAAATAAGCACGCGCTGTTTGTTGCAATATGCGATTTCTTAAATATTTTAGAATCATGGTAGCTTCCCGGATTACCCACTAATGCGTGCATGATGCGGAGCTTATGATCACATACAACTTGCAATTTAATAGAATATATTCGTTGACGAGAAAAATATGCCTCATGGTTATTGCTAGGTTTTTCGGCCAGCTTTATCTCACTTCCATCAATATAACCAATACAGAATGGTAACTCACTGAACGTATGAGCAATAAGTTGCCTACGCTCAGTCGCACTAGGCCATTGAATGTATACCGGTAATTTCTTCAAAATTGCTGAAAATACTCTCTGGGTAATTTTGGTCAGAGTGCCACCATCTCCCACTCCAAAAATTGTCGCGATTTTTCGCACTGATGCACTTTCTCCTGAAGAGCCTAAACGGAATAGTACTATCGCGAGTTGTAAATCCACGGGCAGTTGCAAATTGGATCCTGAACCTTTGAATATTATATCATTTGCAAATATTTCAACAAGACGAGCAAATTGACTCTTGTTGACACGTAACATTTGCAAAAATCGTCCTTCGTCGAAACAACATAAAATATTATCTCGCCAATGAATGGATTTTGGCACACTTAGTTCATCCCCTCGTCGATAAGATGTGATTGTTCTTAAATCTCCATTAGTTCATCCATTCTTTCATCAATGAGAGCGTGCCATTGATCGAAGTGTGCTGTGTCTATAAATGGAAAAACTTTGATTTTTGCAACTATTAAGCTTTAAAACACATACCTTCGATAAATTCAAGATCTTTAATAGCTGCATTTATTTTTAAGTCTATAATTTGATTTTTTATACTCTTTTTAGGCATTTTGTGTTGATTTTGAAATTTAAATTTCTTTGTACTTACGACAAAAACAAAGAACAGCTGATTGTATAAAAATAACCAGATAACCTACATAAAAGTCTGTTCACGGTGCACACAGATTATTTTTCATTTTATCATCACATAACCCGATAACCAGTGCCCCGTGAACACCCTAATTTACAAAGTAATGAAATTGGTTGATTTTATCATGCAGAGCTCCTTAAAATTGACTTTCAAAAAAAGTTTTTTCTTAACGACAAAAATTTTAAATTAATTATTAATTAGATGGCGTTTATTAAAATGTTAATTTGTGACAATAATATGGTTATAATTATCACGTCTTAATCTGTTGTAACTACATAATTAAAAGCAAGTGTCTACACTGCTGTATTTCAATTAAAAAAACGGTAACAAAACGAAGGAAGAATAATGTACGTATATTTGTGACATTAACAGTAAAGAAATCTTTTTAAAGAAATTAAATTAAAATGTAATTTAAAGTCAGCTATAATTGTAGTGACTATTTAACTTAATAGAAAGGCTTCGAAACATTTGATTTGATACAATATATTGATAGAAAGGCTTCGAAACATAGTGAACTATACAACAACAAAAATATGTTTTGTATATTTTTTTATTATTTTTTCACATTTAATTTTTTTATAATTGAATTTTTGGTTGATCATACAGCTGTTTCGAGTTTTACCAAACACTCATCATCAGTGACCTTGGAATTATTTTTTATATTTAATTACTCGTAAATAATTTTTTTCAACTGCAGGTACCAAGGCTTGAACTCATATCGTGCTAAATTTTTCTTTATATTAGAACAAAATCATAAACCAGCTGTAAAATATTTGAATTAATTAATTATATTTATTAAATTTATTATATATTGTTAAATTTCAATTGTATTTTTTTGTAGGGGCATTATTTATTACTTGCTTAATTATTTTAAATAATATAAAAAGAATTTTTGTTTTTGCAGATCCTTTTCGAAATTAAACTAATAAAGAAGTGATTAAAACTATTCAAAAAAAAAAAAATATTCAAAAATACATTTCTTTATTCCACTTAACGTTTTTGTCAATTAGCATGAATAAGTGGGAAGTTGCATGGCTTTTGATCAGTATAACACTAATAACTTAGATATGGCAAATAAATTAAATTAAGCAAAACATGAGGTTAAAAAGTAATTTAGTTATAATGATTGAATAATGCAAAATAATTTAAATTATTATGATCTTAGTAAGACCATACATACTAAGCTTCTCGATTAGGGAAGCAATTTTTATACTAGGGAAGTAGGGAAGCAATTCTTATAATCATATTTTTACTAAAACATAATATTGAGATTTGATTGGGAATACATTGATGGACTTATGAACAATTTTTTCATAATTATTTTTATCAAAATAAGTGGTAGTAGTATGTTTAGTTGTGATACATTTTTAATAAAACTATTTTCACATCAGTATGTTTACACGGAAGCGACAATAATACAATAGGTGTTTTTGGCAGCTTTTAAGTGTGGCGAAAAAACAGTAATTAGTAGGTGCTTAGCGAGATACTGGCATCACTGTTACAATCTGTCAAGTATTATGTTTTCGCAAATAGTAAATCTTGCATATGTGTACATAATGCAAGCGAATTATATTTTATATAAAAATAAATAATAAAGTAACATAAGGAATTAAAATGAATAGTGCAGGAAATTTTGATAATTGTTTTTACAACAAAATTAATAATAGTTTAAAATATATCAATTATACTTATACTATATATTTAAAATATTTATTTTTCACAATTTTGCATATTTTTAAAATATTTCATTTCTAGAATTCTCAAATTTGTGAAGCTTTTTAAATTTGTTTGAATTTTTGTTTACATACTTCGACAGATCATTGGAATATTCGTTGAAATATACAATGAAGATTCACAATAGTTCGATTATTGAGTCGGTAACATTTTTTCTGCAAGTGCTAAAATGTTTGATCACTTCACAAAGTGTTGTTGTTTTGCGTACATTTGAGTTACTTAAATAAATTGTGTTAAAACTAATGTAGTTGTTATATTCGGAATATTAGCATTTGACATTATTGAAACGAGCAGAATTAGCAAAATCGAGAATAACTAAGTTATAAAAAATAATTATTTCTGGTTTAAATCAGAAATAATTTGCTTGCGTCAGACAAAATTGATTTGTGTGTTAAATACATGTCAGAGGAAGAAACCTAAAATTATATTGCATAGTTTGAATATTTCATGCTAAAAATATGAGGTTTATTCCACGAGCTACTTGTAGCAAAGTTCAAGTAAAACACAAGTAAAGTACAAACTGAGAGCTCAACACAAATAAAGTGGCAAATTACGCCCTTTACACATATTTTCATGGAACGGTTTTGTGTAAAGTCTGGTGAGAACACCAGTGCCGCGCAAATAAACAATACAAAAATTTAAATACAAACCACAACAGCTGATTCAAGCATCACACAAATTTTATTTGAAATACGAGTATGAGTAGTCTGTCTAGCCTTTTCAAATTTCGACAGGGATGTTACACTCTCACAGATGCTTTCATTTACTCGAAAATTTACGGCTCAAAGTTACTACGAGTACTTCGTGGATCAGTCATATTATTATTTCGATCAATTATAAAAAGTAAGGCAAGGTTATTATGATTACACATTACATGCAACACACATTTGTTATTTGCTGCCACATGTGAAAAGAATTTGCTACCTATAGAAATATATGATATGTTAAAATAATAAATGAAATAAGAATATGTTCATATATATGATAATAATAGAAAACAAATATTTTTATTTTAACTGGGATCATATAATTGGATTCGATATAAAAGCAATTAGAAAATCAAAAATTCATTTTAGTTTAGTATGGTCACACTTATAAATTCATTTTCATTTTGTTTCGTTTTATTGTCTTGCTTCGTTTGAAATCATTCTGTCGTTTAGTTTTGTCCGTGGCGGTAGGCATTGATGTGTCGCATTTTCGAAAAATGAAAAATAATTAAATTTTGTGTATTTTCAAGGAAGTTTGTTTATCGTGTGTTAATTAAATTTGAGATAAATTAAAATCATATAAAAAGTGAAATTGTGTTTTGTGTGTAGCGGCTTTATTAGGTTTTAAAGTAAATTGAAGTTCAATTCTGTTTGTGTTAATATTGAATATATGATAATTCATTAAAAAAGGGTGGGTTAAAGTGTCAAACGCAATTACTTAAGAATTGGTTGAAATAATTATCTTTAAAATTATTATTAAGCTACCCAGACAAAATAAAATTTAATATTTCTCTGCATTGCAGTTTTTTTTGCATTGTCCTATTCCTTTGTCTGTTTTCTCTTACCTATGCCTGTTGACATTTGAGTAGCGCAGTTGGAGCAAAAGCCGATTAGGAATTTTTAACCAGCCGCTTTTATTAAATATCCTTTTTTATGTTAAAATTTTAATAAAATTTTTTTAATCAAGTGTTCATGAATTAATTTGAAATTTCAATTCAAAATTGTTAATGTGTAAAATTTTTTTAGGTTGATAAAAAAAAACAAAATCAAAAGTGTTTAAGAAAAATTTTATTCAGTCTTCAAAATTATACAAAAAATTTTAAAATAAATTTTTGCAAAAAACTTTAAAAGCACAAAACAACAGCTTTCGTCTTTTTTTAATTTGAAGTTGTCAATTAATCGTAAATTTTGGATCTGTTCAACGAAATAAAGGAGCAACTTTCAAGTTGCCCAGCAAAAACTCGTGCACTCTGTCGCACTGTCCAGACGACAGTGTGGGACGCTGTATCATCAATAAGTGCAGTATTATACGCTCCGGATAGCATTGGAGAAGCCGGCGGAGGTGGAGGCGGTTCCGGACAAGGCCCAGGCGGCGGAAGTACGAGTCGTGTAGCAGCCATTATGGGTGCCGTTAAATCCCGCCATTTAACGACAGCCGACAATTTAGTCGAGGAAGGTGGGGCCGGTGGCTCTTCACATTTTCATACTCTCAAGAACGGTGGTTCAAATACTACTGGATTTTTGCAAAAACAAGATTTACGCTATGATATTGGCACCAATTCACAGTATCATCATGTAAGACAACCAAGTGTGCGAAGTCGTAGTCAACAACCAATGCCAACATCTGAGGAACTGGATCGAAGATTTGCTAAAGTTTTGGTGAGTGCATTTTTAAATTTTTTGTTTTTAAATTTGAGAAATATTAAAATTATTGATTGTTGGTTGCTTTTTATAGAGAAAAAAGTAGGTTTTTAAATTGCTAGAATAAGAAGTTAGCACTAAAATTACTAAATTAAAAATAGTCTATTTTTTATTTCTTTATATGCTTTTTATTTGCTTGAAATTAATAAATACGCGTGACTGTTTACTTATGTATCGGGTTGTTCTATTAAACCAGAAAAATGTTAAAAAAAAACTTAGAACCTGCTCATGAAATTCAATCCATCCGAAAATTTTTAATTGTTGCATTTTTTGTAGACTTTATAAATTGCAAGTCTGCTGAAAAACAATTGCTGACTAAGTAAATTAAATATACTCACAACAATCATCTAAAAACAGTTAAACAAATAAAATTTTGTTGTATAACATTTTAAGTTCTGAAATGTTATAGATTCCGAACTATACTACTATATTTCATATATATAGTAACTTCCGGTGATAGTTTCCCCTTCGCACACAAGTAAAATATGCTAAAAATATTTATGAGATACTATAAAATTTTTTATGGTTTTATAGTGTATATGAAATTCAAAAGATGTTTCAATACATCGAGAATTACTTTAAGTAATAAAAAAATAATTATATATCTTATAAGAAAAATATACAAAACATATATATAGAATCAATATGCGGAAATAAACACATATACAACTGCTGCGTAATGTTTATGGTTTTTTAATTTTATATAAATAGTAAATACTACTATTTTTAATCCTTTCATATAAAGTGAATTATTTTCGAAAAAAATTATTTAATTTTAATCATTCTCAGTTTTTTATAAAAAAATTAAATTAGATTTCACTTTTTATTAATTTTTTTATAGACAAATATGTGATGGTTACCAATAAATTGATTTCAGGAAGTAATTGTAGTTGAAGACTTAACTTTAAAACCAACTAGATCGTATTGTATGATTATTTAAATTTAGTTGTATTTTTAAATTACTATTAGATAAAAAAATCTTTTACAACTTGATAAATTTTTCTTGTTGCAATAAGTAGTTAGTAAGGGGGTGTTGGTTCTAAAAAAATTAAATTAGATTTCACTTTTTATTAATTTTTTTATAGACAAATATGTGATGGTTACCAATAAATTGATTTCAGGAAGTAATTGTAGTTGAAGACTTAACTTTAAAACCAACTAGATCGTATTGTATGATTATTTAAATTTAGTTGTATTTTTAAATTACTATTAGATAAAAAAATCTTTTACAACTTGATAAATTTTTCTTGTTGCAATAAGTAGTTAGTAAGGGGGTGTTGGTTCTAACCCTTACTAAGCCCATGCATTCCGCAGATAGATTGTCGGGGTAGTTTTAATATCAATTCCACAAATTTTACATCTTTCAGAGATTAATTTTGTTAGCCAGATGTTTTTATTTTAACGACAGTAAACCTTCATCATAGATCAAGTATTTATCTGTTCTAAAATTATCATTAAGTATTGTTTGATTATGTATTTCAGTAGCTTTATATAACACAATTTAGATATACATATTAAATGTCTGCTTTTCGTTTGACTTATTGTTTTCTTATTCTATAACTAAATTATATTAACTGTCATCTAATAATTAGATCCTTGTCATTATTAATTTATAATTTTCTTGACGAGCTCGAAAATTAATTTTTGCTAAGGTATATTGAAATATACAGGAAATAAAAGATAAGTAGAAATGTGTTGCCTTAAGTTAATAATTCTGTCAGGAAAGTAGTTCCTTACATATTGGGTTATAGCTATTGTGATATTATCTATATATTGCGAATATTTCAGTTTAGACGATAGTAAAATTTAACACATGTCAGTTTTCAATGATAAAATATTTATTTTATAATATCACTTGTACATTGTTCTGTTATTGACCTATCAGTAAAGCACAAAGTAGTGTTTGATTTGAAATTAAATTTTTTCTGAAGTTGTTGAGTTTTGTGTAATTATATAATTATGACATTACAACTGAAACTATATTTTTATGTTATTAATTTATAGTAGAATCATTTCTTTGTAATACATTACCATCGGGAAAAATATGTACAATTTTAACAGAGCTATGATCTTAAAACGACTGCCATTGCATTTAAGACCTTTGAGTTATGTACTGATTAAAAATAGTCATTATAATTTAGTAAATATAGCTAAACAGAATTAACTATTTGTCGGTGTTTTCTTGACTTTGGTATACTCTGATGACGATAATGTAATTAGTCTATGTGTTACCAATCTTACTCATTTCTTCTGAATTTGAATATTGTACTCTTCTTCTTTTTATTAGAAAGTTAATTTTACCAATTGGTATGTTTATACTATCTGATTTCTGCATTCATTCTAATAGCTAGTATATTAAAAACTGGTAAGTGATTTTCTTAGATTATACACTAAAAAGGATGCAATTACCATCTATATTGCAATTGTTACAACTGTGTAGTTCTTAGTTTTTCAAAAAAAAAAATAAAAGTACATCTTAAACAAGTTTATTAAATTTTTAATAAATAAGTTTAATGAAATCAATATATGTAAATAATATATATGTATGTATGCCTATTATATATGTATATACATATGTATATTATATATGTCTATATATAACATGTATTATATATATATCTATATTATAATATTAATATTGTATTGATGCTCTTATCAAAAGTTCAAGCTATTGTTTGAAAATAATAACAGTAGTTATAATTATATATATATAAAAAATCGTCTAATATAAATTTTGTTATCAAATTATACTTATTAGTATAACCAATGGTTTATTCGTTGAAGTTGTTACCATAAAGGCGATATCATCTGAAATAAAAATCTGTTCACTATGCTTTTATGTTAAAAATGCATGTAAAACTAATCTGATTATTTATAAAAAGAATCAAGTTAAGTCTAGTTCTAATTACTTTATTATTTTAATAAAATGTAAACCAACGGAAATATATCTATACTTTTGAAAATCTTTTTTTATGGAAAATATTTCCATGGAGTAGGAGTGATATATAAAGAAAAATATATTTATTATTCGGGCTAAGTGTCAAAATTATACTGTCATGACGGGTCGAGTGTTGAAAATAACTGAATAAGTAATATATTATAAATTATATATTGTTACTTACAGTTATATCAAGAGTTTTTTAGTTGTACTAAGTACAGTGTCTGAAGTACTTCAATTTATAGTTATCAATATTGAGTTTTCGAAACGTTGAGCCAGAGAATATTGTTGTATGTACTTACTAAACTTATAGTAACTGTTGATCCTTGCAAAAGTCTATCATATAAGATAGTTGATAAATTTGATATTATTTGACATCATTCTTAATTACTGTAGGGCATGCATTAAATGTAACCGAGACATTTTTCTTCTTTATATCCACCAGATGATCCGCACGAATTTTCATGCTAAGAGACCTTAGAATAGATTCGGTCAAAAAATACATAATGGACACAGCTCTGAAGCTATATGCAAAAACCGACAAGCTGCCCTACTTAGCACTATCTAATCTCAGAGTAATCACTAATCACACGGGGCGGTACGCAGATCTTAGATCAATCATTGAATAATCATGAAGGTTATCATGAATACTCTAATTAGTCAGTGAGATGGGCGAGACTATGCAGAATCCCCCCAGCTATCATAGAGTAAAAGTGCCCAGATGCACTAACTCGGAAAAGGCTTAACATAACATAACCAGATGATCCCTCTGATTTTTCTATAGTTGATATAGTGCAGTAATTTATGTAGTTGGTGGTTACAATATCCCGCTAAATTGATCTAATTACTTCTTTAAGCACAGACATTTTTTAACTTGTCATAATGAATATATTTCATATATAAATCCAATAAATCTGCATTATATGTACTTAATTATTTTTAAATATTACGTATAGTTAGTTCAGTGCTTTATTGCAGTTCACTCTGATTTTATTTGTCTACTAACAACTTTTTAACTGAACGTATCTCATTAAACAGCTTATAATAATTATTTTTCTCCTTTTTAAATGAATAGTAAAAACTGTAAATGGCATTTAAATTAAAGTCTGTAATTGTTAAAGCAAATATTTTATATAATTTTCAAGGCTTGCATATATGTATCTGTGCGGTTTGCCGCCGATTGTTGATATGCATAAAAAGTTGATTGCCATAGAAACACTTGTGAGATCACTAAAGAAAATATTGCTTGTCTTTCACAGCAGTCGCACCTAAAAATAGGGGATCTGAAATTATAGTTTTCTAAATTTGAAAATTTTGTTATAAAATATAACACTTTTATATCTCTGGAATTATTTGAAATTATGCTATTTAATAATTTGTTTCGTGGATAAGCTTATGAGCTACTGATATAAAAGCTACTTATTTTAAAGCTATAACTTTTTTTAAAAAATAATTTTTACTATGAAACCCTAAAAATTGAACATAATAATTTGCTTTAAATGCATGTCAAGTGTGAAGCATTTAATAAAATGTTTTCGTTTTCTTATGACCAGGGCGAATAAATGATAAAAAATTAGCCTTCGTCATATATTTCATTTTATCCAGTAAATTTAATTAAGTTTAAATTGATTGAGTCATTTAAAACATTGAGGTCGTTTTTTTATTGTACACAATAAATATTTTGTACAATAAGATATTTTTCATTGTTATTAACTTTAAGATGACAATTGTAAAACACTCCTTGTTAGCTGTAGAAATTGATTTAAAAATTAAACGCTTTTAACATTTTAATACAGATATGTATATTTAATATTCTTATAACATATTAACACCAAATTACTAAAAAATCTACTGTACGTGTTTTCTTTAATTAATTTTTATTGTTATAGTTTTGCTTTTTATAGTTTAATATAACTATTATTATAGTTATATTAAGTCAACCGCTTTTCGTATGCAACCATTTGCTATAAAGAACGCAATCAAGTGATATTATTTAGATCTATAAAACTGGTTTTATTTA